TGTTAATTAAAATAAATATAAAATATATTTTATATATTTTTAAGATGTTAAAGGACCAAAAAACTTATAGTTGCAACTACATGCCAGGATTATCAATTTAAGCCTTAAAATATTAGTGCTAATTAATATTACTGTCATCATCAACTTTTCTCAAAATTCCTTAGCTTGGGTTTCTTGTCTTCTTAGGATAGTGACCATCACTTACCAATTGACAGGAACGGAGCCCTTGGGGTGAAGAAGATTGGAATATAAAGGATTTCAAAAGAATACAGAGTTGTATTTGATGAGTGTACCTTACAAGAGCAGAGATATATAATTGTAATTACATGATCAAATCCATTTGTTATGCCTAGGATTAAGAAGAGTAATGTTACTTGACCATTGCTCCTAATATTGCTTTGAGTTTGATTTCCTTCTTGGTTTGATTGACCTGGATAGTTTCCTTTGGATTTTGCTTTAGCCTCTCCTTCTCCTTCATATAGCGCACTAGAAATGAGAAAATCTACCTTGGAATCATAAGTCAGTCAAAGTTCTTTCTCCCCTTGTTGGCAGAGTCAGGCATTCTGCTCAAAAGGAGTCAAAGTCAGTCCATCTTCATATCGAATGGTGAATAAAAACCTTCTTAGAGTCAGCCACTACAAAAGTTGTCTATCTTTGACTGATAATCTATAAGAAATTATTACATAAAATTGTTTCATTAGCGAATAAACTATTGCATGTCAGAATTCAAGCCACCAATCAAGTCAAATTAAAACAACGGACGATTCATCATTCTTATATATTATAGCCTAACCTGATCATTTTTGCATTTAACTAAAAAGCTAAAATACAATTACAGACATGAAGCATAACTTCCATTCTCAGCTTCTGTCCCTTTTACTTTTGTTAGGATTTTTCTGCCTTAAAACCATCCAACTTGTCTCGTGCCATGGTGATCTTCAAGTGAATTGCATAAAAAATGAGAGGGAGGCACTTTTGAAGTTTAAAGAAAGCCTGACAGATCCATCAGGAAGACTTTCCTCTTGGTTTGGAGAAGACTGCTGCAAATGGAAGGGGGTACAGTGTGACAAAAAGACCAGGCATATCGTGGAGCTCAAGCTACGCAATCCACGACCAGGTGTTGTTAAAGATGATGGGACAACTTACAATCTTGGGGGTGAGATAAATCCTTCATTGCTCAATCTGAAGCATTTAAACCACTTAGACTTGAGCTTGAACGATTTTGGAGGACGAACAATACCTGAATTCTTTGGTTCACTAGAGAAGTTAAGGTACCTTAATCTCTCTGGTGCTGCGTTTGGAGGGTATGTCCCTCCAAATCTGGGTAATCTTTCAAACTTGCACTATCTTGATCTTAACACAAATTTTTATGCATCACAAGAAGGTGACTTGAAATGGATCACCAATCTTTCCTCTCTGCAATACCTTAATTTGGGAGGTGTGAACCTCAGCAGTACCGCAGACAATTGGCTACAAGTCATTACCATGATGCCTTGCCTTTCTGAGCTGCATCTCCCTTCTTGTGGACTCTCCGAACTGCACCAAACCCCCTCTTCTGTTAACTTTTCTTCACTCCGGGTTCTTGATCTCTCCAATAATGGCTTCAACTCCTCACTACCTGATTGGTTGTTTGAGCTCCAAAAGCTTGAATACCTTGATCTCAACTCTAACAATCTTGGAGGCAATTTCTCAGCAACATTTTCTAACATAACGTCCCTCCAGATGCTTGATTTGTCCCAGAATTCATTTATTCCAGGTCAGATACCAACATCGTTAGGGTATCTTTGCAATCTAAAAACGTTGGTCTTGTCTACTAACAACCTCATTGGTGAGGTAACCGACTTCTTTGATGTTCTTTCTATGTGCGGCAACAGTAGCTTAGAGACACTAGATTTGGGGGATAATCAACTAGGCGGTTTCCTTCCCAACTCACTTGGACACTTCAAAAAACTGAAGCATCTTCAACTATGGGAGAATTCCTTTGTGGGTTCAATTCCGGATTCAATTGGGAACCTGTCATCATTGGAGGAATTCTACCTGAATAACAACAAGATGAACGGACCTATCCCGGAGAGTCTAGGAAAATTATCAGAACTAGTTGCACTAGATATCTCAGAAAATTCATGGACCGGTGTTGTTTCAGAAGCTCATTTCTTCAATCTCACCAGCTTGAAAGATATGGTAATTGCCAAGTTCTCCTTGTCTCCAGACCTCACCCTGTTCTTCAATGTGAGTCCTGGTTGGATTCCCCCTTTCAAGCTTGAATTCCTCAAGCTGAGATCATGCCAGGTTGGCCCCAAATTTCCTGGATGGCTTAGAAACCAAGATCAGCTAAGTACTGTTGTTCTTCGGAACACAAAAATTTCAGATATAATACCTGAATGGTTCTGGGAATTGGGTTTGTCCCTGGATGAACTTGATCTTGGTTATAACCAAATAAGTGGGAGAATTCCAAACTCACTGAAGTTTCGTCCTCAATCAACAGTTTACCTTAACTGGAATTGCTTTTGGGGTCCTCTGCCGCTGTGGTCTGCAAATTTAAGTGAACTGCACTTGAGCAACAACTCATTTTTTGGGCCCATCCCTCCAGACATCGGTGAAAAGATGTCACTGTTAACGGACATAGATATCTCCTACAACTCTCTCATTGGAGCTATCCCTTCCTCCATCAGTAACCTGACTACTTTGACAACTCTTGTCGTCTCCAACAACTATCTCTCTGGTAAAACTCCGGAATTCTGGGATAATCTTCCATTTCTGTATGCTCTGGACATGTCAAACAACTGTTTATCTGGAAAGATACCAAGCTCCATTGGCTCTCTGAGTTACCTCAGATTCTTGATGCTGAGCGACAATCATCTTTCTGGGAAAATTCCTACAGCTTTGCAAAACTGCTCGAACATGGACACCCTTGATTTTGGAAACAATGAACTGACAGGAAAAATACCTGAGTGGTTTGGAGAAAGGATTCCAACTCTTCTGATACTGCGCCTCCGATCAAATTTCTTTCATGGAGATATTCCGGACGAATTATGCAACCTCTCCGGTCTTCACATACTGGACCTGGCAGAAAATAATCTATCGGGATCAATTCCACCATGTGTTGGGAATTTGAAGGGCATGGCAATGGATCTTCAGTCTGTAAGATATGAAGGACAGTTGTGGGTGGCAACAAAAGGAACGGAATACTTTTATACTGCCAGTGTACTCTACCTTGTGAACAGCATTGATCTCTCAAGCAACAGGCTAGGCGGGGAGGTACCGGAGCTGAGGAATCTTTCGAGATTAGTCACATTGAACTTGTCCCGAAACCATCTGACTGGGAAGATCCCTGAGAGCATCGGGAACTTGCTGCATTTGGAAAGCCTAGACCTGTCCAGGAATCAACTTTCTGACCTCATCCCACCCAGCATGGCTGCTTCCACATTTCTGGCTCACTTGGACCTCTCATACAACAACCTCACCGGAGAAATCCCAAGTAGTAACCAGTTTCAAACCTTCAATGATCCGTCCATTTATGAGGGTAATCCCGGCCTTTGTGGGGTCCCTCTACCAACCAAGTGCTCCAGGGACGATGGTGAGGTACCCCCTCCAACAGGAAGAAAACAAGAAACGGAAGGTGCAGTTAGGAAGGAACAGATGGGGCTTTATATCAGCGCTGCTCTGGGTTTTGTGGTGGGGTTTTGGGGAGTTTGTGGAACACTAGTGATTAAGAATTCCTGGAGGATTGCTTATTTCCAATTTGTCAACAACATGAAAGAAAGGATAATTATCCTTGCCTCGGTGGTGTTAGCTCGCTTGATAAGATTGATAAACCCCCGAGAATAGGAGGACAGATCTCGTGTTGGATTTTGTAACATGAAATAATCTAATAATAGAATGTACAACCAACCTCGAATACTTTCACTTCTAGAGAAAAAAAAAAGAAATTAGTTTAGTGGCAAAGTTAATTCAATTCTCGGCAAGAAAAGTCTAAATAATCAGCAGATTTGATTGATGTATCGACAATATTATTCATATTCTGCACCCTTGAAAGAAAGAAGCATTCGATCAAACATGAAGGTATGCAAGGACTTGAAATTCATCTATTGGACTCGAATTATGTTGTAATATTTGATGCGACCAGGCACTTAGCGGGTAGCAGGTGACGTGCACGGGTAAAAATCAATACCACATTTGTTTTCAGAGTGTCATGAAACAAATACCGCTAACAATCTGTACTTGCAAGCAATGGATCAGTCATCAGTGCCAAAGTAACGATCTCCGAACTCACCCATACCTGGGATGACTCGGAACTCTTCGTTCAATGCAACATCAATTTCCGAAGTGACAATTTTCAAGTATGGGAAACGTTTGTAAACACAATGGATTCCCTCAGGAGCCTGAAGTAAAACAAAACAGAAGATAAGTATAGTTTGGTAGAATTGGAGATGGGAAAGGAAAATACCAGGGAAAGGGGGAGGTTGAAAGCATCGAAAAAGCACCCACGGATATCAAGTTCAGGAATATAATGTGGGATTCTGGAACCCCTTTCCGTATCAGTAGTTCAATGGCTTGGTTGGCAGAGTTCCCTGCAAGAAAAGCCATCAATGTAGGTTTTTTCAATATTTAGCATAGATGATTGAATCTAGAAAGGTTTATAACATTTACCATCTGTTTTTGTTTTCTGTTTTTTTGTTTTTGTTTTTTTGTATATTTTTTTCCATTTTTCTACTCCAGCAATTTATTTATTAACCAAGGAGAAGTACAGGTAAAGGCCTCTTAGGTTTATTCACTTTTCGTTAGCCTGTTCTTGCAATAATGGACAAGGGCAGACATCAGATTTGGGAAAGAACTAGAAAACTTCGGGGAATCAACAAATGGATTTTACCTGTAGCAAGAACTGGATCCAGAAGCAGTACATGCCGTTCGGAGATATCTTTGGGAAGTTTCTCATATATAAGCTACAAGCATGAAATATAATGTATTGATTATTAAAATAAACTCTTCATAATGCTTCAGCAACAGTTCTACCAGCAGGCTGCCTTTTCCACAAAATATATTATTTACCTGTTTGCCATTATCTCCATCACGGTGAATCAGAATTTTTCCAATTTTTATTCCTTTGCAGCATGCCCGTAATGCGTTTTCCAT